TGGGCGTGAAGACGCCATGCGAGACTTCCCTCTGGGGCCGCAGGTGGAGCTCCCCTTGGCCCACGATCCCTGTCAGGGCGGTGGAGAACAGCTGCCCATATGTTCCCAAAAACCTCTCTGGGAACGTTCAGGGGGAAGAGGAGGAGGGGGACGAGGAGGAAACGGGGGAGGAGGAGGGAGCAGCTGCAAACGAAGGAGACGAGGAGGAGCAGGATATGGGACTGGAGGAAGAGGAGGAGGAGGAGGACGAAGAGGCGTGAAAATGGAGTAGCGAGGAGAAGGGAATGAGGAGGGGGAGCAGGATCAGAAGCAGGAGCACGGGGAGAACGAGGACGAGAAGGAGGAGGAAGAGGAGGAGGAGAAGAACGATGACGAGGGGGGGGAGGGGGAGGGGGCCGAGGCGGATGGAGACTCTGCAGCGCCCACATGCAGCGGACTTCGCAATGTCGCCGATCAGACGAGCGAAAGCGAGAGCCGAGCCGTAAAACGTGGCGCAGCTGTGACTAGAACCTACAGGCGAGCGAAGCGCGCGTGGTTGCAGTATAGGTTTATTTATGCGTTGCACCACGTAGACTGCACCGCATTGATGTTCTGCAAAGATTGCACCACACATTATCGCACACCATAGTTGCACCACGTAGGTTAAAACACATACATTACACACCATAGATCGCACGACATGTATTGCTTCAGGTAGGCTGCACCACAACGATCGCACCACATATATTGCACCGCGTATGCGGCACCACCTCTATTACTAGACGCACACTGTTTGGGCTCCACGCTGGCTAACATGTGTTTTGGAAATTACAATCAACGTATATAGTTTTCTCGCTGCAGCGCTGGCCTCCTTTTAGGATCGGCGAGTGGCCCCCATCGTTCAGAATGGTACTCGCTCCTCAGTGCGGGCTTCTCTTCTGGATCCAAGTCTTTTCTCATCTTTGCCGTCCCCCTCCTTTCCCCTCCTCCCCTGGTTCTCCTGCTTCTCCCGCTCTTTGTAATCCAGCTCCTGCTGCCGCTGTTCGACCTCGTCCTCCTCCTTCCTCATCCTCTTCCATTTCCACCTGTTCATCCCCCTGCTCATCCGCCACCTCCTCCTCCTCCAATGTACGCAGTCCTGTGTGTTCCCCAAGCACTCAGGGTTTCTTCTCTTCGAGGGAACAGGGCCTGTCTGTCGGTCTGACCGCCTCGTCGCCACCCGTCGTCTGGGCCTCTGTCGGTCTGGCGGCTATGTGGCCGCCGTCGCCGCCCCGTCGCCGTCCCAGATTGCATAACGCAGGTTGCACCGCGTACATTTCACCACAAAGATTGCACAACGTAGACAGCACCACACATATTGTGCCACATAGCGTGCACAACCTAGTTTCTTCGTTCTAAAAGAAGAACCGACTCTACCCCCCCCCAAAGTTAACGGGCCCCCTTTCCGTATGGCAATTTACATATGGTTCAGCCCCACCGGCCCTCCGAAATATGAACTGATACTATCCAAGCCAAGCCGGTATCCGTCCCCCCCCGGCATCCTCTGCAACAAATAATATGCGCGAATTCGTTTACCAATCATCAGAAGTTTTTAATACCCCCCTGCAGAAAATGTGACGAAATCAACGCGCGCGTCCATGCCAATATCGTACCAAACACAATGCTTCTGCAAGCGCTTCAGCATAAAAACCTTAAAGCAACAGGGTTTTGCAACACAGAGTTTGCAAATGTCCTGTCCGCGCGCGCATGCTAGAATCATGCAGAAAACCATCGGATTCTTATGAATTCTGCCAAATCCAGCGATTTCGCGTCACCGCTCGGTGCACCGACGATACTCCTGTCATGCGCCGAGGGCGCGAATCCCTTGCAAAAAAAACCACGCGGGCCACATGCGCGCACCGCCGCGCGCGCATGATCAGTCTGGCGGATTTGTTGAACTTCCGCGCGCGCGGATTTCCTTTTCAACCTTGTCAGCATCACCGCGATCACCTGCCTCATCGACAGATGGACATCAGCATCGTCAACGTGTTTGCCGTCATTGGCGCCGTTATCGTTCGTGCCGCCGCCCTCTTGAACATCGTCGTCGTTGGTGCCATCTTCGTGATTGTCGCAGACGTTGCCGACGTCATCTTGTCATCGCGCACGTCCGAGTATCGTCGACATGTTCACCTTCATCATCGACTCACGGTGACGAGCATCGGCAGTGCGGATGTTACCATCGATGTCGTCATCGGTGGCGCCGCCGTCCCCCGCATCATGAGTTTTGCCAAACAAGTTGCGGGTGGGAGGGTGGGGCGTTTGCGTGATCAGTGGTGAATCGCGGCGCAAGGTGGTCAATTGCACCGCGTGGAGTGCACCGCCTGGGTTGCACAACGTAGATGGCACCACAGAGGGTGCGCAACATCGGCTGCACCACAAATACTGCACCACACAGGTTGCAGCGCGTATAAAGACAGCGTATAGTGTACGATATATATATATATATATATATATATATATATATATATATAGGTGTGTGTGTGTGTGTGTTCACAGCTGTAGTTATTTTACCACTCAGACTGCACGCGCAGATTGCACAACATAGTTTCACCCGCATGGCTTGCACCTCGTGTGTTGCGCAACACGTATTGTACCACATAGAGTGCGCACAATACATTGCACCACATCGATTGCGCCACATCGACTGCACCACATAGTTTGCACCACATGTATTGCACCAGGTAGAGTGCACAACGCAGATCGCACCACATATATTGCACACCATATATTGCACAACCTGGACTGCACAACGCAGATTGCACCACACAGATTGCTAGAACACACTGTTTGGGGTCCAAGCTGGCTAGCATCCGCTTGTCCGTAACACGGTGAGGTCCTTCTTGGAATTCCAGGTCCGCTACGACACGCGTCCGCGGCTCAAGAAGATCAGCGCCATGCGAAGGGATGAGCGGGAAGGGCAGGATGTCAGACGCGGCGCGAGCGTGCCTAGCTTGTCATAAGGCCCTTTGCCTTCCCGGAAGGCCGCCCCCCTCGCTCCACCCCACTGCGCGCGCCGCCAATCCTGCCCCGCGAACGCGGCTCGGACTTCGACCATGCGGGCTCTAATGCAGATTCGCGCCCACGGAGGGTCAAAAAGCGAGCCACGACATGGACGGCGCCCCCGCGGTTAGGGGCAGCCGCAGGCCCAGCGGTGATGGCCCTAAGGATTGGAGGTGAGGAGGAGCAGGAGGAGGAGCAGGAGGAGGAGGAGGAGGAGGAGGAGGAGGAACAGGAGGAGCAGGAGGAGTAGGAGGAGGGAGGAGGAGGAGGAGGAGGAGGAGGAGGAGGAGGAGGAAGAGGAGGAAAAGGAGGAGGAGGAGGAGGACCAGTGTTTCCCGAACACGCGTCAACGATGTTGCTATCAGCAATCCTTCCACGTTCTCTCCGAGGCCCTTGCAAGAGGAATGTGCGTGGCGCTGAGGCTTGAGCCACATGTTTAAAACTACCCGCCCGCCATCCGCGAAACTGCTGCGAACTTGAAGACGAGTGTGCGCGGCGCTCAGGCGAAAACCACAATTTGATAACGGCTCGCCCTCCATCGTTAAACTAGTGGGAATTGTTTACACGAATGTGCGCGGCGCTCCGGGCAGAACCACACTCTGAAAATGACCCGCCCTACATCCGCGAATGTGTTGCAAATTTAAAGACGAATGTGCGCGGCGATCAGGCGACAGCCACATTTTGTAAACGACCAGCCCTCCATCATTGAAGCTGCTGCAAACTTGTAAGACGAATGTGCGCGGCGCTACGGCGAGGGCCATACTCTCAAAACGACCCGGCCTCCACCCGTGAATTTGCTGCGCTGCAAACGCCGAGACGAATGTGCGCGGCGCTGAGGTGAGAGCCACATGTTTAAAACGACCCGCCCTTCATCCTTGAATCGGTTGCAATTTTTTGATACGAGTGTGCGCGGTGCCAAGACGGGGACCACAGTTTGAAAACGACCCGCCCTCCATCCGAGAAACTGCTGCAAACTCGAAGACGAGTGATCGCAGCAATAAGGCGAGACCCACATTTGAATCCGGCCCGCCCTCCATCCTCGAATTTGCTGCAAATTCTTAGGACGAATGTGCTGCCTTCAAACCCTTGAAGCTGCTGCGACATTGTAAGACGAATGTGCGTTGCGCTAAGGCGGTCGCCACGTTTTGAACATGTCCCACCCTCCAACATTGAAATTGCTGCAAACTTTTAAGGTGAATGCGTCCGTTGCTAAGGCGAGAGCCGTATTCTGAAAACGACCCGCCCTCCAGCCGTGACAGTGTTGCATTTTGAGAGCTTCAGGATCATATGTGGTCGGAAATTCTTAGGCGAAACGCCCGGCTCGCCGTGCCGACACGTCTAGGTTGCGACAGGGAGGAGTTATAAAGGAAAGGGACGGAGGATATGGAGGGGGAGGAGGAGGAGGAGGAGGAGGAGGAGGAGGAGGAGGAGGATCGAGGTTCGAGATAGAAGATGTTTGTCTTCTGGCTTTGATCGCCGTTCACTCTGTCGGGTCCTGTCACGCTTTACGTCTTGATGTACAGTTTAGTTCAACTTGCATTCCAAGCAATAGGCGCTAGTGTTGCGTATGAGGCAGGCCCCACGAACCACGGTGCCCTGCTGATGTAGTCGGACACCAGCGCTGTGTCGTCAGCGTAGGCTACATCGGAAAAGTCGCTGCCATTCGGGATAGGCCGTTGGAAGGCGGCACCATTACGAGCCAGTGAACGGTTCATAGCACACGATCTATATTTCTCAGCAGCACATGGTCCACAGGCCCTGTGTCTTCCACTCTCTCTCCCGCTCCCCCAACCCACTCCCACTCTCACTCCCCTCCTCCCCCCCCCCGCCCAATCCCATTCCCTCATATCCCTTCCCTCTCCTCACTTCCCACTGCCCTCATCCCCCCCTACTCCGCCCCATCCCCCTTTCGCTCCCCCTCCTCCTCCCCATTCCACCTGTTCCTACTACTACGCCTCCGCCTCCTCCCGCCTCCGCTCGACAGCCGTTGTGGCTCAAGATAAGGCCACGCTCAAGAAAGGCCTCCCGCCTCACTTGCCCTTGATGCAAGACTACAGGACGCAGGAACAGTACGCTGCGGCTTTGCAGCAGGCAGCCTTGCAGCAGCAGCAGCAGCAGCAGCAGGCGCAGTATGCGCAGTACTCGCAGCAGCCCTGCTCGCAGCAGGCATCGCCTCCGCCGCCCTCCTGGGGACGCAGCCTGCCACCCCCGCCGCCTCCGCCGCCGCAGCGGGGGCTGTCCTTGGCAGTGCGCGCCGACGCCGTCCCAGGGAATGCGGACCAGGACTCGGTGTCCGGCGATTCTTCTGCGTTCGCAGCCCTGACCGTTGGCCACTATACCCGCGTCACGCCGCTGCGCATCGCGGACCGCCCCCCGATGACGCCGCTCCAGAAGGCCTTCGGGGGCCTCTTCTACGGCCAGCTCCTGGTCCAGCTCGCCGCCTGCGCCTGCGTGCTGGCGACCCAGAACGCCTACCGCGCCGACGGCTTTGACGTGGAGTGCGGTCCGTCCTAGGGCGACGAGATCTATACACATCCATTGCTCCTGGCCAGGCCCATCCTGGGCCCAGGAGCAATGCATCTGCCTCCCCGGCCAAGCCGTGAGGGCGCCTGCGCCGCTCCCGTGGGCCAAGGAGGCGCCCTGCCGGGGAGCCGTGGCTGTGCGTGCATCTCGTCGCCCTGGCGTCCTACGAGCTGGACGCCGCCCGCGGCATGTGCGTCGACGCGGGGCTGAGGGCGCGGCTGGACGGCTGCGTCCCGACGGCGGCGGACGGCGGGGCCGACGGCGGGGCGGACGGGGTCCTTCTGGACGGCCGGCGGCTCGGCACTCGCAGACGCTTCGCGGGGGAGCACTCGGGGGCTACCGCAGGGGGGGGTGACGGATCTGTTCGACTCCAATTCGACCTTGGTCCGACCCTGTTCTGGCTCAGTTTCGACACAAGTGCGACTCAGGTTTGACGCAAGGTCGGCTCAAATCGACGGAAGTTCGACGCAGTTTCGACGCACGAGTGGAGCGAGTGTCTCCAGGAAGGTCCCCAGCATGAGCATCCAATACGCATCGACCCCCCCCCATCGCCCACCGATCGCCGATAGGGGCCTGATAGCCTCCCCCCTTGAGCGTGCGGATTCGCCATCGGGGGCCACTCGCCGATCTGTCGGCGACGTATGGCCAGTTCGGGCTCGATGTTTCTCCCTGGGCCAGTCCCCCCAGCTGCATATTTTTTTCGGACGCCCGAACTGGGTACAGAAAGCGTGGGTACGATGCCCAACAACAGATGTTGTCCAGAACCGATCGCGGCCGCTGTGGGGCAGGCGACCTGTTTTCTCAAATGGGCAACGTCCGCGGCGACGCCGACCGACAGCGAGTTCTGCTCAAAAGGACCATGAAATTCTGTTAGTCTTCGTACCCATTCTTTCCGTACAACCCCCCCTTGCGTGGACTACCCACCTAACGTAACCTGGACCTCGGTGACACCGAGCCCGGCCCGCGCGGAATGGGCGTGTCACCTGCGTTCTGGCGACACGCTTGTCTTGTGATGATGCTCCGGCTTGTGCGTGGGCCACATCTCTAATAAAACATGTGGTTGCCGCCCAGGCCCCAGCGACATCCTTCATCGATCGTGTTGCTCTGGCCTGTGCGTGGGCCACAGCTCTGATTGAACAAGCGGCTGCCGCTTGGGCGCCAGCGACGCCATTTCGATTCCCCGATCCCCCCCCCCCCCCCGCCTATACCCCCTGCTCCTCGGGCACGGGCTGGACGAGGCGTCTCCGTCCCGTCCGCTCTCGGCGGTCGGAGGGCGCTCCTCGGGGGATGCCGTTCTGTGGCATCGCTCGGGCGCGTGCACACCTCTCGGCGAGGCCAGCGCCAGAAAATCTGGGCCAGCCTGGAGCACCCTGGACCTCACCGCCCACCGAGCGACCCCAACCAGGGCCCCGATCGGCCCTCCGCTTCCAGTGGGGGGGGGGGGTCGGGGAACATTGGCAAAACACATGAAGCCCATACCCCCCCAACCCGAAAGTCGGGTCTTCGGGTCGGGTTGGAGTGGTCGGGCAGGTAGTCAACCATCTCGAGAGACAAAACGCGCGCGAGACCGAGCGATGCACGGGGGCATCCGAGCGACGGCAGGTGACGTGCGAGAGGCGAGAGCCTGCCGCCTGCAGCCGCGCGGCGCGTCTGCCCCTGTTGCCCTCTGCCTGGTCGTGCCGCCTCGCTCGCCCTTCTTGCGGTGCTCCTCCTTGTCGTCCCGCCCCTCTCTCACGTTCTCGCACTCCTTGTCCGCCTCGTCCTCCTCGTCCTCTCCGCCGGCCTCCACTCCTCGTCCTCGTCATCTTCCTTGATATCCTCCTTCTCTCGGTTCCTCGTTCCTTTCCTGGCCGTTCCTCGTCCTCCCGTTCCTCCATCCTCCTTTTCCCACCTTCCCCCCTCCTCCCTCGTGCCTCCTGCTCCTCCTCTTATTATGATTCCTCTTCGTCCTCCCCTCCTTCGCGTCCTACTCTGACTGCCCCATCCCCTCGCCCTCCTCCTGCTCCTGGTCCTGCTCCTCCTCCTCCTCCTCCTCCTCCTCCTCCTCCTCCTACTCAGCTTTTGCTTATGAATAACCCGTCCCTGCCGCACACCCAGTCGTGTCGTTAGGGCGGGACGGCTTTTTTGCCTAAGATTTCTTGGGCATTCATGATCCTGAAGCTTGAAACTTGTAACAGCTTCACGGATGGAGGGTGGGTCGTTTTTGTTAAATGAGGTTCTTGCTTGAGCGCCGCGCACATTCGTTTTAAAAGTTAGCAGCAATTTCACGGATAGAGGGCGGGCCGTTTTCAAATTGCGAGATTCGCATTAGTGCCGCGCACGTTCGTTTCAAAAGTTAGCAGCAGTTTCACGGATGGAGGGCGGGCTGTATTCAAAATGTGGACCTCGCCTTAGTGTCGCGCGAATTCGTCGTTTTAAAAGTTTGCAGTGGTTTCACGGATGGAGGGAAGGGACCGTTTTCACAATGTGGGCCACGCGCGTTCGTTTCAAACGTTAGCAGCAGCTTCGCGGATGGAGGGCGGGCCTTAATCAAACATTTGGTCCGTATTTTAGCGCCACGCACGGTGGTAGTACAAGTTTACAACAGTTTCAAGAGTTCGTATGGTCGCAGGTCTTGGAATGGTGCTCTGGCACGGTGTAGGACTGCCAGGGCGCAACAGTCACAGTCATTCGCGGTGTTGATGTCCCAGGAGTTGCGTTCTGGCACGGTTTGAAGTGTCAGGACTCATTAGTTTCGTTGACCCGCGGCGTTGAAGTCGCAGGAACTGAGCTTTGGCGCGATTGAGAATTCACAAACGATTGATTTCTAACGGGCCACTCGCCGAAAGGACAATAACCTTTTGTGGGGCCCCATGAAGAGGGAACTTGGAGGGAGAGCTTGTTGTGACATCAGTGATGCATCTTGGGTTTACGCTGGTTCTCCTCCTCCTCCTCCTCCTCCTCCTCCTCCTCCTACCCTTTGATTTTTCATATGGCAGGATCGTCGTCGGGATCTCTTGGGGTCCTCTTTGGTTGGGGTCGCCTTGGGCCCCTATGTGGCTGCCTTGGGCCCCTCTTGGACGTCTTTGGGGGCATCTGGGGGCCGTCTTGGAGCCTTCATGGGTTGTCTTGGGGCTTTCTTGGGTGGTCTTGGGGCTCAGGCTCAGACTTACTCGCACTCAGACTTCCTCGCACTCAAACTCGCTCGTACTCGGACTCACTCACACTCAGACTCATTCGAACTCAGAGTCACTCACACTCAGGCTCTCTCACAATCAGCCTCACTCGCATTTTGACCTGCGACGCCCTCGCACTCAGACTTCTGCAGATTTGGGGGATGTCCCGAGCGAGAGGCTGGTTTCAGCATCCCAAGGGAGAGCCGCCAGAGGTGGTTGCACGGCCCCGTTCGCACCCAGATTGTGGGGATGTCTTGAGGATGTCTCGGGCGACGCGCTGGTTCCAGCACCCCAATGGGGGAGCCTCCAGGGGTGGTTTCATTCCCCCGTTCGCGCCTAAATTGTGGGGATGTCTCTGGTGGCTTGCCAGTTTGATTGGCCAGAGTCATTTCTTTGCTTTCAGAGCAGATTGTGAGGATGTCTCAAGCGATGCGCTGCTTTCACAGCAGATTGTGAGGATGTCTCGAGCGATGCGCTGGTTCCAGCACCCCAATGGGGGAGTCTCCAGGGGTGGTTTCACTCCCCCGTTCGCGCCTAAATTGTGGGGATGTCTCTGGCGGTTTGCTTATTTGATTGCCCAGAGTCCTTTCTTTGATTTCAGAGCAGATTGTGAGGACGTCTCAAGCGATGCGCTGGTTCCAGCACCCACATGGGGGATCCGCCAGGGGTTCGGACACTCGCCAATTCGCGGGCAAATTGTGTGGATGTCTCAGGTGGTTTGCCTGGCGCCTCGGGCTCTGCTTTCAGCGCAGATCGCGAGGGTGTCTCCAGCGATGCGCTGGTTTCAGCACCCGAAGGGAAGCCGCCGGGGGGCAAGACACTCGCCCGTTCGTGCCCGGATCGTGGGGATGCCTCGAGCGAGGCGCTCGTTTTGCACTTCCGATCCCTTTCCGTTCAGAGCCCCCATGATCACCTCGATGTAGGGATAATAGCGGCCGCCGGGGAGGAGGATGGAGGGCGGGGGAGGCAGGATGAAGACGCGAGAAGAAGGGGAAGGGAGGAGGGAGGAATAGAAGGGAGGGGCCACGGTGAGGAGGAAGAGGGAGAGGAAGAGGGGAAGCGGCCAGGGTACATGTCGATCCGATTCGTTTGATTCCGGCCAGCCCTGTCCGATTCGATACCGATTTCCCGACCTTTTTCGCTGCGGCCCGCTCGCATGGCGCTGTTGTGTGCATCCTGGCACAGTCGATCCGACTCGATTTGGGCTCCGTGCCGATGCGGCCCAATCCGACGCACATTTTGATTCGACCAGGCCTCCCGATTCGATGCTGACCGACCCTGCCCTCGCCTCCCCCCCCAGGGAGCGCAGAGTCGGGCCCCGCGGTGAGAGACCAACATCACCCACGCAAGTGCCCAAAGGGGGTCGGCGGAGTGGACCTGGACGTGGGGCGGCTCGGGAGCGGCGGGCGGGTCGCAGGTGGAGCAGCCCGATGATTCGGACATGGCTTCCCGTAACGCGGGGCTGCTCTTGATGCTGCTGGGCGGGACGGCCCTCGTCTGCCTGGGGTGGTTTCTGGTCCTCGGGGCGTTTGCGCGGGCGACGACGTGGGGCATGTTGGGTTTCAACGTCATCATGATGTGCTACATGGCCTTCCTGACCCACAACTGGATGCTCCTGATAACCGCTGCCATCGTCTTAGTAGTGGCATTCCTTGCGAGGGCGAACATCGAGGTGGCAATCCAGGCGATGGGGCTCGCCGCATCGGCTCTGAGGTCCACCCCGGGAACTTTTGCGGTGTGCTTCGCTTTCAGGGTCGGGTGGTTCATCTATGCTGTTTCCCTGTCGTGCGTTGGCGTCTTCCTCCTTCCGAACTCGATGGCCGTGGGTCCCAGTTGCGAGCTGGAGCAATCATGGGCCGCTGCATTTTGGAGCGGCTGCTGCCCAGTCCTCTTCATCATCACGACGCTCTTCTTCAAGAATTGCATGCTCTCGGTAGTTGCCTTGTCCGTCGGCTGCTGGTACTTCCCAGACGCGGCTGCCGAACTCGGGGAAGAGGCGTGTGGTAGCCCGGCGCTCTACGGCGGCAAGCTCGCCCTCACAACCTCCAGCGGCAGTGTCTTCGCGTCGGCGCTGATGATGGGTGTGGTGGAGGCACTCAAGCAGCACGAACTGCATCCCTGCTGGTGGCTGGACCCGATGACGTGCGCGATGAAGACCCTGTGGTGTGCTCTCGAGGGTGTCGTGGGAGCGCTCACGCGCTTCGCGCTCATCGCGCACCTCTTTCACGGGGATGGCCTCTGCCATATGGGCACGATCGCGAAGGAGCTTCTCAGCCGCCACCTTCCCGACGCGGTCGCCACTGGTTTCATCGCGAATGTCATCATGAACCAGATGGCGATGAGCCTCGCCACCAGCTTTGGCTTCCTTGTGTGGTACCTGCTGGACCAGTGTGAGCACATCGGTGTCTTCAGCACCATCGCGAAGGACATCAATGAGATTGCTCAGCAGTCCCCCGATGACAGTTCTACCCCACAGCTTCTGGTAGCATTGCTCACCTGGTCCATGTACCTAGGCGCTCGAAGGCCAATCAGCACCCTGTTCTTCTCCTGGATCTTGTACGGCCTCGCGCCTTTTGTGGACTGGATCTTCAGCCTGCCAGGACTGCTGGAGTCATACCTTATCTCGGCGGCGTGCCGAGGGGGGAAGTGAGAGGGGGTCAGGCTTTGAGCTGGCTGGGGGCGGCTGAGGTTGCCCAGCTTTGGTTCCAACCAGAAGGGATGGGGGAGAAGAGAAGGTCACTTTTGTCGCGACGGCTGGACACGGCCCAAACATTTGTCAGTTTCGACGTCGGGTGGGGTTTGGGGTTCGATTTTGAGCGGAGTTGCCCTCATGCCCCCCGTCTTCACCGATTTTCTCAGGGCCCATCCAATGGACCCCCCCCAGCCGCTTCCAAGGGCAGTCCTTCTCGGAAGGCGGCGGGGCTTCTCAGAAGCACTCCGGCCTTCTGAGAAGACGTCTGTGTCTTCGGAGACGCTTTGGAAATCTGTTCAGCAGGCTGAAGGCCTTCTGAGCCTTTTGAGAAGGCCCGCCCCCGCCTTTCCCCCTTAGCGCCCCGTCGATTATCGCGCAGTTCATGGCAGCCCTGGCGTCTATCATCTTTGGCTACATGGGCTCCGTCATGGAGTACGCCACGGACACCGTCTTCTACTGCATGGCCGTCGAGTGCGAAGGCGGCCGGTGCGACGCCCGCACGATGAAGCTGCACGAGGCCATGCAGGCGCAGCTCGGAAAGGAGGAGGAGCAGCTGCGCGAGGGCAGCGCGGGTGGCGATGTCTGAGCGAAGCGGCGGTCCCCCGCACCCCCCCCCGCAGGCAGCCATCTCTCGAAGATAAACACAAACTTTCGCAGCCCCGCGCGTGTTTCTTGGATCGGCGCTGGGCCCCCTTGGTGGCGCCTCTGGCGCCGCCCCTGGCGCGCTCCGCGCGCGAGGGATGGGTGCCCAACGCCGATCAAAGAAATCTGTGCGGAGCTCCAACATGCATGTATGCAGTTTTTCTGGTTCCAATCTTGGGCCAGGCCTGCTGGCTTTCTGGCTTGACCGCCCCGATTCGGCTGTGGTGGCTTGGTTCAGCCTTGTTCGGTGCTTCGTTCACGACTCGACCTGGGTTCTGCTGCCTCTCGTTCCTCCCTCCCTCACCTCTCTCCCTCCTAGAACCCTCCCCCAGGAGCCCCCAAAGCCTTGTTTGAGCCACTGAAGGCCTCTTGGAAACTCCTCCTCCTTCCCCTCTCTTCTTCCTTCCCCGTTCCTCATCCGAGAACTTCTGTGGAACTCGTGGGAGTCTCCGTAGCCTCTCTTCTGTAATGTTGAGCAAATCCCATCCCGACGCTCCCTCCAGAAATTAGCTGAGGCTTCTGGGATCCTCCCGAATATCAGCCTCCAGGGCTGGAAGAAGACACTACTGCATAAGCACAAACTTGTAGAGCTCCGCGCAGATCTCTTGGATTGGCGCGGGGCCCACAATCCTTGTCGCGCGGAGCGCGCCAGGGGCGGCACCGGAGGCGCCGCCAGGGGGGCCCAGCGCCGATGCAAGACATCCGCGCGGAGCCCCGACAGTGTATGTTTACGCCGGGGTTTGCCCTCCTGTGCGGCGCGTTTAAAGGACTGCGCCGCGCCTGTGCACCCTGCCGCCCCTCCCCGGTGCTGGGCACCGCGTGCCGGAGCAGGCACGTGGCATACGCAGGGCCTTCGGGGCTACCCACGCCCGTGCTGCGTCTGGAGGGCGGTGCCGCGCTCACGCACATGTCGGCGGCGTGCAGTGCCACGGGGGGCAGGCTTGGAGGCGGCTGGGGGTTCAGGTGGCCCAGCACTGGCCCTGGCCAGCAGAGAGGAGGGAGCGAGGAGTCTCCTCGTCGCCACGGCCGGACGCGGCCAATCAAAATCGCTCAATTTCGACGTCGGGAGGGATCTGGGGACCGATTTTGTGCGGACTTCCCCCGTCCTTCCCTCTTGACCGATTCTCTCAGGGCCCATCCAGCGGAGAACCCGACCGCTTCTCAGGGCAGGCCTTCTCGGAAGGCGGCGGGGCTTCTCAGAAGCCTTCCGGCCTTCTGAGAAGCCGTCTGTGTCTTCAGAGGCGCCTTGGAAATCTGTTCAGGATGCCTGAGGCCTTCTGAGCCTTTTGAGAAGGCCCGCCCCCTCTGACTTCCCCTGGGCGACTCTTGCGTCTGAAGGATGGCGTCGCGTCTACGCACCTTGCTGTCCCATCGTCGCTGGAACGCATCACCCTCGCTTCTCAGAGGAAGGGTACCAATACTGCTTTCCTTTCCTCGTCGCCACAGCTGCATTCGCCTCGAAACTCTGGTCAGAACGTCCCCCCGGTGATTTCTGGGAGTAGCTGCACATGGGTACCTCCCAAGCTTTCCTCTGAATTCTTGACGCTTCGCGTGCCCCCACCGGTTTACCCGCTCTCTGGAATCGTCCTTGGAGCCGCAGAACAAAAAAGTGCCCCCACCGGCCCATCCAAGAACGATCGCCAGGCGATCCGCCCTGACGAGGGAAGCGGAATTAGGAGCGTCCAGAAGAACAGACAGGTCAGCCAGCCGTCAAGCCGATGCTCGGAATTAGCCTGAGTACACGAGCGAGGAGAAGGAGAAGTAGGAGGAGGATGCAGAGGAGAGGGAGGAGAGGGAGGAGGGAGGAGGGAGGAGGGAGGAGAACGTGGAGGAGGAAGAGGAGGAGGAGAAAGAGGAGGAGGAGTTGGAGGCGGAGGAGGAGGAGGAGGAGGAGGAGGAGGAGGAGGGAAGAGGAGGAGGAAAGAGGAAGGAGGAGGACGAGGAGGAGGAGGACCAGTGTAAACCCAAGACTCGCCAACGATATTGCAAAAACCATCCCTTCAAGTTTCCTCTTCATAGGCCCCTACACGGATTCATGTTCATAATTAGGCCTTTCTTCATAGGCCCCTCTTCGCATGCCCTCTCAATAGGCCTACTTAGGGGCGTGGCCCGTTGGAAGACAACGGTTTGAAAAATTCAGAAGCGTGCCAGAACACCATTCCTGGGACATCAGCGTTGTGAATCACCTGTACTGTTGCGTCTTGACGATCGTGGATCGTGCCAGAACGCCATTCCTGGGACCCACCGCGATTCAACGTGACTGTTGCTCCCTGAAGTTCCGATATCGCGCCGAAACACAAAATCGGAGACGTCAACCATGATATTATTTGAAATAGTTGCAAATCCTCAAGACGATTGTGCACGGCGCTAAGGCGAGAGTCACATGTCGAAAATGAACCGCCTTCCATCCGTGACATTCTTGTAAACTGTTAGGACGAATATGCGCGGCGCGAATGCGAACATTTTGGAAAACGTTCCCCCTCCATGCGTGAAGCTCTTGCGTATCTTTACAACGGCTGTGCGCGGCGCTAACGGCCGCTCTCTATGTGTGAAAGTCTTGCAATGTTCAAAACGAATGTGCGTGGCGCGAGAGCCACATTTCGCCAGCGGGCCGCTCTCCGTCCGTGAAGCTCTTGCAAGTTGTGTAATCTTCTGGATCGTACGTGGTGAGGAACTCTCATGCGAAACATCCAGCCCGCCCTTTCGACCGGCCTCGGAGTGCGAGAAGGAGAAGGTATGGAGGAGAAGGGCGGAGGAGGAGGAGAAGGAGGAGGAGGAGGAGGAGGAAGAGGAGGAGGATGAGCAGGAGGCGGCGGAGAAAGTGGAGGAGAGGGAGGGAGGGAGGGAGGGAGGCGAGGGAGGAGGGAGGGAGGAGGAGGAGGAGGACGCGGGGACGCGGCTCGCGACGATGTCGCAACGTCGCCCGCGGCCGCGGGCGGCCCCCGCGGCGGCGGCCCCCGCGCGGCCTGCGGGCCCAGGCCGCCCTCCGGGCCTCGTCGGTGGACGTCTGGAGGCCCAGCGTCTCGAGAGCGAGGCCGAGGTCGGCGGCCCTGAAGCACTCCAGGAAGTCGTCGCTCTCGAAGAGGTTCGTGGCTTCGGCTTCCGCTTCGGGCGGTGGGCTAGTGACACTTCGACCCCACCGCCCGAAGCTGTTCAGCGAGTAGCCCTCCGTGGCGTTCGGGTCCCGCTGGAGCTCGATGTCGAGCGCGCAGTCTAGGTCCCCGAATAGCTTGCTCAGCGAGTCGTTGGCCCGGTAAATGACAAAGCTGCCGATCAGCTCTGGTGGCACAGCATGCTCGTCATGTCCGCGGGGCCCAGGTCATCATCATGCAATGTACTTGTACGAACGTACTTTTGCCGCACCGTCGGGCAGATTACATTGTCACAGGAGGGCTTGTGCCGCGCCGTCGGGCAGATAAAATTATCACATCCGCCGTCCTTGCAGGTTTCGCTGCGCCCTCACACGGGGCCTGGGCGGAGGGGCCCCTGCCCTTGGGAAGGGCGCAGGCGCGAGCTTCCCAAGGGCGGCAAACCGCGTGGGACACCAGGATTTGCCCGTCGTGCTGCAGCAGGCCTTCTTGGAGTAGTATCGGCTAGAACCCCGTGCCAGCTGACTCCCTTCAGCAGCTTGCTTAACAAATACGTGGCGGATGGCGTCGCCGACTTGCCCGTGCACGGTTCACGTAGATGGTGTCCAAGGTATCTTTTCTGCCTTGGGCTGGCGCGCCCTGCACAGAGTACGCAGAACCACCTCTGCTCGCCGTCATTATAGATCATGTTCTGCGAGGGGTGGGTGAAGTCGCTGCCAATCAGAATGCCTCGCCGTGGCCGAGCCGAGACGTCATGGCCAGCGCATGTTGATGTCATCCATTGTCTGGCGATGTACTTGGCTCCAATCTTGGTGGCCGACTGGTGGCAGTTCTGGCACTCCCAGCGTGCCAGTGTCGATCCCCGAAGTATGTTGTGGGAACATGTTGTCGCCAGGGTGGGTAGTGGTGTCGGTCAGTTCGCGTGGTCGTCGGTGCGGTCATCGGCTCGCTGTTGGCGTCGTGATGCTGGTGTCGGTGGTCGTTTCTCGAACGCTTCTCGGGTTTCTTCACAGATCCTGTCACGCACCCTCACCGCTGATGTTCTGATCCAGTCGTAGCAGTCCAGCTGGCTGTGGCTAATGCTGTGGTCCGCAGCTGCCTGTTCTGCGAGTGTGTCTGCTAGGTGGTTGCCTGCCCAGGCGTGCTTGGGGAATCTTCGTACGAGGGCCTCGTCCAAGGTCAGGTGGCTTTCGAGTTTGAAGATGCTGATGGTGCCGCCTCTGTCGTGCAGCGCATTGTGGATGTCGTACCAGATGTCAGCGTTGGAGCCCTGAGTGAAAGGTCCTTGGTGACGGTTGCCTCGCCATCCTGCTGCTAGCACGTCGGAGTCGGTCCAGAACTGCAGGTCACCTAGTGTATACACAAGGTGACCTGCAGTTGTGTATACACAAGGTGTGATACAGTTGTAGAATGCCCATATTTCTGCTCTGTTGTTGCTCTGTCTTGGCCCTGGTAGTGGGCCTCGCTTACCGGCTGCGATGTGGTACTCTCCGTCGGCTCCCAAGTCCCAAGTTGAGTCTGACCCATGCCCAGCCGCACCTCATGTGCCTGATGTCGCCTGACCGTTCGCCTCCGCTGCCGTCCCCATAGATAACCAGTGGTTCGTCGCCTTCTGCTCGGAGTCTGTGGTCGCCCATAGCTTCACCTATACACGTCAGAAGAAGGAGGAGGAGGAGGAGGAGGAGGAGGAGGCAAGCCAGCGGGCGGCCACTCCGCCCTGTTGGTGGCAGATCCTCGCCGACAGGCGGACCGCCCGCCGCCCGGCCCGAGCGGGGCGCGGCGGCGCCGTCTGGGCGGGGCGGCCCTTGGCAGCGCTGCGCGGGGGCCATGGAGCCCGCGGCGGCGGCGGCCTCCGGGGTCCCGGCGGGGCCGGGCACGCCGGGCGCGGCGGCCCAGGGGCGGGCCTGCTGGAGGGGCCGAGGGGCGGGCCTGGGTCGATGATCTTCAGGACGTGTGGGGAGTATTCTTGTCCCCCTCCGGGCCATAACGCGCGTTATGCCCCCTCCCCCCTCCCCTCCCCCAACCCCTGAGAAACTGTAACGCTCCCCCCCTTCAGTGAGTCCCCGGCACTAACGCAGTGCGTCCACGTTGTGCCCCCCCGTCCCCACCCCCAATAACGGCTGTTGTCGCCGCGAATTAAAGCATGCGCTCGTGTTATAGCCCAAGCGCGCGTTTGCCCTGTTCGGATCCGCCGACAGCGCACAGCCTGTGCCCGCACACTCGTTGCGCCGCGTATACGTCGTGTCGAAGGGCCTCGGTGGAAACCAACCCGTTGGCACTGCAGGCCTCGGAAAAAAATAGCGAGCACTCATGTCACATTCATCCGTCAACGCCTCCCCCTCCCCCCAATGTTCAAAGTTGGCGGTGGGTCTGATGAGATGCACCTCGACCGCAGTCTCCCCCGCGCGTGCCAACTTTGAGTTTGGGGGGGAGAGGGAGCGCTCAGTGATGGCTTCCCTCTGCCGTAACACACGTTCGGAGAATCCTCGCTGGGGAGGCGCGGCTGCCGACCCGGAGGTCCGAGGCCCGAGAAATTCGGAGCGGGGCCGTGCTTTGTGAGGTCCCTCAGCGGGCCCGGGGACCGTCAAGCAAGAACGATTCGGGAGGATTTCGAGCCGGACGTTCTCGCCCAGCTTCGGGCCCCGGGGCACTCACCGATGGATCCGGCTCGAAACATGGCGCAGGAAGATGGGGTCCGAGGGCTCCAGTCGCGATTTTCAAAGAGGTCTCGATTTTTTCGAGACGTCGGATCTCAGGGTAGGGGAGCTGTCCAGACCTCAGGGGCCCACGCATCACAACGGTTGGAACGCTGGAGGTCCGGGGAGGGGCTGGCCAGGGGCTGGCCCTGCGCGGCGGCTACCGGGCGGGCTTGCTGGGAGGGAGTTTTCGGGGGCGACCGCTTGCGGCTCCAATCGACGCTGCCCTGAGATTCTGGCGTCTCGGGTTTTTCGGGCCGGGTTTTTCCCTCCAGGTTCGGGCCCCGGGACCCTCACATATCGATACGGCTCGAAAGCGTCGCAGAAAGATTTGGCCTGGGGCTCCAGTCGTGATTTGTCCCGATCTCTCAATGTTTCGAATCGTCGGGTCTCAGATTGGGGCAGCGGGCACCAGCGATGGGGTTCACTTGGCTGTAGGCATCCTTCGAACTATGAACTCCATCATGGTTCTCAGACATCTGATCTGCACGGATGGTGGATCAGCTGACGTTTGGGGACGTCAGTTGACCACCTCACCGATCCT